GTTTAGGGTTTAGGGTTTGCGCGCAGGAGCGGGTGTCGAGGGTTTGTTCGCTGGCCAGCTACACAGAACTGCTGCACATTTTGCTCACCAGCGAAGATGTTAATAGTGTTGCTTATTCTTTAATGACAAAAAGGGTTTTGGAAAAAGTGCTGCTGCCGCAGATGCGGGCCATAGTCCGCAGGCTCCAAACCCTCGCCGCCCAGGCAAACCCTAAACCCTAAACCCTAAACCCTAAACCCTACGCCGCTGCCGGGCCTGCGCCCCCTCGCCGCACACCGTCCACCCTGCGGCTGCGCAGCCGCCTCGTCTGCCCTCTCTTCCCGCACACTACGGATTAGGGTTTGGGGTTTGGGGTTTGGGGTTTAGGGTTTAGGGTTTAGGGTTTAGGGTTTGAACTGCAGCACGCAGCAACGCCGCTCCTCGCAAGGACTCATGGCCAGCCCGCGAGCCCCACAACTTTTGGAAAGGAGTTTGCGGTGTACAGCCACCGCTTGAGCGCCCACATTCGCAAGTACATGCTGCTGCTGCTGCTGCTGCTACTGCTGCTGCTGCTGGCGGTGTGTCTGGTGCTGCTGCTGCTCGTTTTTGGCCGCAGCTGCTGCGGCTGCGGCTGGAGGTGGTGGCGCTGCTGCTCGCGCTGCGGCGGCTGCCGCTGCTGCACTCATGCCGCTGCTGCTGCTGCTGCACTCACGCTGCTGCTGCTGCTGCTGCTGCTGCTGCTGCTAGGCTTGAGGAGGTGAAGCCGCTGGGCAAGTTCAGCGGCGCTGTGGGGAACTTCAACGCGCATGTTGTGGCTTTCCCCGAAGAGGACTGGCCGAAGCTGGCGCAGCAGTTCGTAGAGGTGCGGGGGTTTAGGGTTTAGGGTTTAGGGTTTAGGGTTTAGGGCTTGGGGTTTGGGGTTTGGGGTTTGGGGCCGGGGATCAGCCCGCGCCTGCAGGGTGCGGAGAGTCGCTAGGGTTTAGGGTTTAGGGTGTGCGGGGTCTCGGAAGCCCCGATGCCTGGCCGGGCCCCAGGGCCGAGGGCTTAGGGTTTAGGGTTTAGGGTTTAGGGTTTAGGGTTTAGGGTTTGCAGGGTTTGGGGCTGGGCTACCAGCCCCTGAGCACGCAAATAGAATGCCACGACTGGCTGGCGGAGCTCTGCGACTGCGTGGCTCGTTTTAATACAACTTTAATAGGCCTTTGTCAAGACTGCTGGGCCTACATCTCCAGGCAAACCCTAAACCCTAAACCCTAAACCCTAAACCCTAAGCCCTAGGCCCTCCGTGGGGGCCCGGCACGCAGCGCGCGCCTGCGGCGAAAGTGGCAGCAGCGCTAAACCCTAAACCCTAAACCCTGCTCTAGGGCGCCCACCCCGGCGGCTTCCCAGACGCTAAACCCTAAACCCTAAACCCTAAACCCTAATTCGCGCTGCAGGGACCTGCTGCTGCTGCAGCACGTGGAGTCGGAGGTCGGCAGCAGCACAATGCCTCACAAGATAAACCCTATTGACTTTGAAAATGCTGAAGGCAACTTGGGGCTTTCCAGCGCCATGCTGCGGTTCCTCAGGTAAACCCTAAACCCTAAACCCTAAACCCTAGCCAGAGGCGCGGGGCAGACGCAGCGCGCTGCTTGAGGTGTACAGACAGCTGCAGCACTTGGGGTGTATAGGCAGCTTCTAGGTATCTCTGGGGTGTACAGACAGCTTGTATTTGGGGTGTATGGACAGCTCCTGCTTATGTTTGAAGTGAATAAATAACTTTTGTTTATTTTTGAAATGAATAAATAACTTCTGTTTACCTTTGAAGTGTATAGACACCTTCTGTTCATCTTTGGACTGTACAAACAGCTTGTATCATATTTGGGGTGTATAGAGAGCTTTTATCGTATTTGGGGTTTATCTCTGAAGTTTATAAATAACTTTCGAAGTTTATAAATAACTTTTGAAGTTTATAAACAACTTTTGTTTTTCTTTATCTGTTTATCAAATGAATAAACAGTTGCTGTTAATCTTTGGAGTGTACGGACAGCTTTTATCGCACTTGGGGTGTATGGACAGCTTCTGCATATCTCTAGGGTGCATGCGTAACTTTTGATTATTTTTGAAGTGTATAGACATCTTGTATCATATTTGAAATATATGAACAACTTCTGTGTATATTTAAATGCATAAATTTCTTTTGTTTACCTCTGGAGTGTACAGACAGCTTGCAGGGCATTTGGGGTGTATAGGCAGCTTTTGGGGGGGGTTGTTGGGGTGTACAGACAGCTCGGGGCTGGGGTTTGCATGCGGTGGAATGAAGTGGAATTTGGAGTTAAAATAATGAAATAAATGCTCGAAATTAAGAAATTAATTGCATTTTAGAATTATTGTTTCGAATTTGTTTGCGTTTTCCCTCAAGTGGCAAACTCCCAGTCTCGAGGCTGCAGCGCGACCTCTCAGACTCCACTTGCCTCCGCAGCCTCGGCTGCAGCCTAGGGTTTGGACTTCTAGGGTTTGTGTCTGCGCTAAAAGGACTTAATAAAATTAGGGTTTACGAAGAACAAACCCTCAAAGAGCTCGACCAACACTGGGAACTCCTCGCCGAACCCGCGCAAACCCTACTCAGAAAGTACACCTAAACCCTAAACCCTAAGTGCACCTAAACCCTAAACCCTCAGCCACCGAGTTAAACCCTCAGCCATGGCAGCAGGCCCTCGTGAGCCTCTCCCAAACCCTAAACCCTAAACCCTAAACCCTCGCTTGTGCGAGCGCGGGGTAAAACCACTTGACCAGCCACCTACAGCTTCGCCCTCCCCCCAACTAGCCAGCCAACCAAACAAATTAAACTAATTAATTAATTAATTTATTAATTTATTAATTAATTAATTTATTTATTTGCTGCTGCAGGTGGGGCCAAGCAGCAGGCTACGAGCAGCTAAAAACCCTCACGCGGGGCGTGGCTGTGGGGCCCCACAGCCTCAAAAGCTTTTTTGCTGCTGCTGCGCTGCCAGCAGCAGAAAAGGACAAGTTGCTGCAGCTCGCTCCCCACACCTACCTGGGCCTTGCTGCCCAGCTAGCCACGCAGCAGCAGCAGCAGCAGCAGCAGCAGCAGGCCGAAGAAGGAGGACAGCCAGCCAACAGCTAGCTAGCCAACTGCTAGCTAGCTAGGAGCCGGCAAGCCAAAGCTAGCTAGCCAGCAGCTAGCTAGCCAACGGCTGGCTAGCTAGTAGCTAGCAAGCCAGTAACTGGCTAGCCAACAGCTAGCTAGCGGGCGTCTAGCTGGCCAACTGCTGGCTAGCCAGCAGCTATCCAAGCAACAGCTGGCTAGCTAGTATCTAGCTAGCCAGTAGCGATTTAGCTAGTAGCTAGCTAGCTAGTAACCAGTTAGCTAGTAGCTAGCTAGCCAGCAGCTGGCTAGCGAGCAGCTAGCTAGCGAGCAGCTAGCTGGGGGACCCGTTTTGTCCGTTCAGGTGTATGTACACCTGAAAGGTTTGATATTGAACCCAAAGTTAGGTCTTGTTTGCAGCCCAGGCCCCAGGAGAGCTGGAAACGCTGTTTTAGGGTTTAGGGTTTGTGGTTTGGGGCCTAGGGTTTAGGGTTTGGGGATGAAGACTAGGGTTTAGGGTTTCGGAGGGCCCCGCAGCGCTGCAGCGAGTTTTTGCGCCCGCGGCGCGGGCTGAGGCGCAGCGCGCATCAGGGCCTAGGGTTTAGGGTTTAGGGTTTAGGGTTTAGAGAGGCGAGTTGGGGGTCCATGAGAATCAAAACTTTGCCAAAGTTGCTGTTGCTCTGCATGCGCTTGTGGGCCTCTTCAGCAGCTTCGGGGGAAAACTCCGCGTCTATAATTACCTGAAAATAAAAAAAAGAATTGAAGTCAGGATTGGCCCAGCTAGCCAACAGCTAGCTAGCCAACAGCTAGCTAGCTAGCGGCTAGCTAGCCAGTAGCTGGCTAGCCAACAGCTAGCTACCCAGCAGATGGCTAGTCAACAGCTGACTAAGCAGTAGCTAGCTAGCCAACAACTAGCTAGCTGGGGTCTAGCTAGCCAACAGCTAGCTGGCTAGCGACTAACTACTAGGCAGCTAGCTGAGCGGCGACTGGCTAGCTAGCTAGCCAGCAACTAGATAGCCAGCAGCTAGCTAGGCAGCAGCTGGCTAGCCAACAGCTAGCTAGCCAACAACTAGCTAGCCAACAGCTAGCGAGACAGCACCTAGCGAGCCGCGGCTAGCTAGCCAGCGGCAAGCTACCCAGCTAGCTAGCCAGCTAGCTAGCTGTCTAGCTAGCTGGCTAGCTAGCCAACAGCTAGCTAGCTAGGTAGCTGACCTTGAGTTTGTTTTGCTGGAATAAAGGAACAACTTCTGTTTTGAACCTGCTGACAAGAGAAGATAAATAAAGAGAAGAGCGGCTCCTCAAAGTGCTGCTGAGAAGCCGCAGCCGCTGCTGCAGCAAAACCCCAAAAGAGAGGTTTGCGCGGTGGCCCCCCATGCAGCCATACAACACCCACCTGCGAACAAAACCCTAAACCCTAGACCCTAAACCCTAAACTCTAAACCCTGGCGCAGCCGCCCGGGGCAGCACGGAGCGGCGGGGGGGCAGAGAATTGCTGAAGGGGAAGCGTGAGGCACCCTGCGAGGGTTTAGGGTTTAGGGTTTTGCGTCTAGGGTTTAGGGTTTAGGGTTCAGGGTTTAGCGTTTGGCTCACGTTCCATCCGTCTTCAGGCTTTTGAGGGTTTGGTTTACAAGAGAAGCTCCGACGCAGTCCAGCACTATATCTACTCCCCTGCAGTCCAAAATAAATATTTATTTATTTATTTATTTATTTATTTATTATTTATTATTTATTATTTATTTTTTTAAATTTATTTGATAGTGTGTTTATTTTTTATT